TAAGTACACAACCATAGTGTACTGATACTGCACCTGTTCTATTATTGTTGAGTATGGGGCATCTTCCTATGGCTAATACGAGACCTCACATAAGGAATGCTTGACTTCAAATCAAAGGGTAAACTACTCTTTTAGGTTGTCATGAGTTTTTCTACATTTTACTGCCCACGTTTTTGGGCAAACACATTAGACTATTAGGTCATGTTTTTTAAGCTTTTAGGGTTGCATCCCCATTCTAGACTTACTTAGAGTTTTGGTACCACAACCTTCAGTTTCTTGTAGTTTTATTTTCGCTGATGTTTTAAGTATCGATTGAGTTTATGGGGACTCAATTCGTTGGTTGTTTTCAAGATTGTTTCTTGATATTTGTTTGTTGGCTTGGTTTAGAAAATGGTGTGTTCGGTAATTTTTGGGTTGGTAGTTTGTTACACTCACGACGGTCTATGTCATGACATAAACTAAATAAGATATAAATGAAATAGGAATCTACTAAAAACCACTGAATCAAGAGGAGTGTTTATCAATGAATAGATGAATAAAACCAACCAAATTGATAACATGTGTACACCCAATATACTAACACAAGAGAAACCACAAGAATTGTGGAATAATGTCACTATAGATAAAAAAAATAGAGGGTAGAGTTAGACCGGGAGAAAAGTGAATTAGAGAAATAGATATGCAATACAATACTAATCACAAAAGATCAATAATTAGACAAGAAAGATATATCAAAAACTAGATCTAAAATATAACTCCAACTCTGCATATAGATTTGGAAACAAATCTAAAAATCAAAAACTACAGGCAACCTGAAGCAAATTAGGAAATTAATTTGGGATGATAGAACCTGAAACTTGAAGAAGAGATCGGAGGAACTTCTGTAGAGAAGAAAGAATGGATCTGGTTGTTTAGATATGACTCACGCCAAAAATTATGAGATCTCACCAGAAATTGGTAGTACTGTAAGGTTTCGTCGGATGAAGTTAATACTTTCTGGAAGTTGACGGAGCTTGCTGAAATTCACCAAAAATTACTGGATGTCGTTGAAGTTGCATGAGCTTGCCTGATGTCGTTGAAATTTGCTGGTATATAGTCTATACTGGCCAGATCTGCTATGGATCTGGTTTGGAGTGGACTTTCCAACAAGAACAGTTTAGTGAAAAGAGAGGAAAAGGCAAAAAAAATAGAGAAGGAGAAGAAGATCTATAAAATTAAGGGAGTAAAATAGATCCTCCCCATTAGCAGATTTGCAACAACCAAAAAGTTATTGATTTTCACCAAAGAAGAAGACAATCCAAACTGATTTTGCCGAAAAATTGCTTGCTTTCAGAATGAAGAAAGCTGGTGGTTGTGTTTGAATTACAAATGGTGTACGAGTGAATGAAATATTTGACGCAAACGATACACCATCAAAGGGAAGAAGATAACAGAAACAAACAAGGTCTTCATATTTGGCCTTGGTTTCATCGAAGAAGACTAACCCTTTTATATGGTCTGAAGATGATAAAAGGGTTATGTTGTCTGGGCTAAAGAGCTACTCTTGCACTGGGCCATCCAGAAGTCCAATTCTTCTAAAAGGCCCAACAAATAAAGATTTTACATATAGCTGAAATGTATATACATAGAGAGGGAATAAAGTTTGTTATATAAAAGTCAATTAAGATTGTACAACTGAATGGTAGTTACAATAGAAGGTTCTATTCTTTTCTTTAGTTGTGTATAAATATAGGAACAAATTGTATTAAGTATATTCAATCAATACAAAAAAAAATTCTAAATTCTTGTTTCGTTCATGATATCAGAGCACTCTTAATCATAAAGTATCTTTCTTATCTTCATCAATCTATCACCCTCTTCAACAACAATGACTAACTCTGTCGAGAATTCTAGAACAAGCCATGATAATAGTAGTACTACTTTGGGTGGTAATGGTACTATTACTCTGGGGATTGATTCCAATCACCCTTATTTTCTCACTCATTCAGATGCTCCTGGTATGAACCTCATCAATAACATCTTTGATGGGAAAGGATACCAAGCATGGAAGGGATCTGCTCTCATTGCTCTTTCAGCAAAGAACAAGTTAGGTTCATCTGCTGCTGGGTCACCAGATTTGCAACCATGGAGTAGATGCAATGATATGGTCACTTCACGGTTGCTCAACTCCCTCTCCAGAGAAATTGCTGATAGTGTGATCTATTCTAGATCTGCTAGGGAACATTGGATTAGCTTGGAGCATCCATTTGGGCAGTCCAATGGTGCCAAACTATTTCACCAGTAAAAGGAGCTAAGAAGGTTAGTTCAAGGTCCTAGTAACATTGCAGATTATTTCACTAAGCTTAAAAGACTCTGGGATGAGCTAGACTCTTTGAACTCAAACATCAAATGTTTTCATGTATGTGTGTGTGAAAAAATATAGAAAATGGAAAATTTTTTGGAAGATGAGAAACTTATTCAGTTTCTGATAGGTCTTAATGATAGCTATGGTCAGGCTAGAGGAACCATCCTTGTGATGAATCCACTATCTGATATCAATGTTGCATATTCACTACTTTTACGAGATGAAAATTAGAAAAAGACATATGAGTTCTCTCATGCCCTCTGATTCATCATCTTTCATGGTAAATAACATGAATCAATATAGAGGAAGGTAGTCTCAACAATTCACAGGTAACAATTTCAGATTTGGAAATTCATTTACAAGACCTAACAACTCCCCAGCACCACAGAAATCTCAGAAAATAATTTCAAAAATTCAAAGGAAAAAAGGAAAAATATGATCATAATGCATACTGTTCACACTGTGGAAAGAATAGACATTTGAAGATTAACTGTTTTAGGTTGATAGGGTTTCGAGAAGACTTCCAGTTTACACATGAGAAGGGAAACCATTGTTAAATAAGGGCAAATGTAGCTGCAACAGTGGAAGAGGCAGAGCCAGTGCTCAATGCTCATACTATCTATCAACATTTTAACAAGGAGCAACTCAATTTCTTAAATCAAGCTTTAACAGAAATGAAAATGGAAGAGAACACCAACACTTCAAATAAAAATGGAAGAGAACAAGTCAATGCAAATGCAATTGCTGGTACAATTATAAAGTATTTTGGTTCTTATTTTTCTGTGTTCAATTCCAAAACTTGGATTATACATTCAGGTGCCTCGGAACATATGTGCTTTGATCCTTCCTCATTCTTATTTTTATCATATCTTAGAGTTCCTCTAAACATCAATATTCCTAACTCAGATTTTATTGTTATTACTCATAATAGTGTTGTATCTTTATTTTCTGATTTAACATTGCATAATGTCCTCTATGTTCCTAGTTTCAAGTATAACTTACTATCCATTCATAAGTTGTGCTGTCAATTCAGCCTTTCAATCCTTTTCAATTCTAATAAGTGTCTTAGGGCCTTTCTATGAAAATTTTTTTGGTTAAACTAAGGAGGACCTCTACTTTGTTCAACCCAATCTTCAGAAGTCTTGTTTTAAGGCAACTTTATCTCAATCATCCCAAAATGAATCTAGTGTTTCTTGTTATGCTTTACAGCTTTTTTCTATTTCCTTTCATGTTTGTTGTAGTGTTATTTCTGATGTAAAGCTATGGCACATTAGACTTGGGCATTACCCTTTTCATTAATGAAAAATGTCAGTTTCATTCCTATTCCTTCTAGTCTTGATTGTTATTGTGAGATTTGCCAAAAGCTAGGCAATCTAGACTTCCTATACCAATCAGTCATATTAAATCTAAATCTAAATTTGAGTTACTTAATGTTGGTACTTGGGGACCTTACAAAGTTTCTAATTATAATCATTATAATTACTTTCTCGCCATAATTGATGACTATAGCAGGAATACTTGGTCTCTTTTGTTGGCCACTAAAAGTAATTCCTTCACATCATTACAATCTTTCATAATAATGGTGCAAAGGTAGTTTGATGCAAAAATCAAAATAGTCAGATCAGATAATGCCCTTGAGCTTGGGAAAAGTGTAGGAGGTGTTAGTTTATTTAATTATCTAGGCATTGTTCACCAGACTTCTTGGGGGAAATGTATCGTAACTGCTACCTTTCTCATTAACAGGTTTCCATCGAAAGTTTTACATGGCAAGACACCTTATGAATTAGTTTTTAGGACTGTTCCTTCATACAAAATTTTAAGGTGTTTTGGGTGCTTATGCTATGCTAATACGTTGAGCCATGGAGAAGTAAGTTTGAGCCAAGAGCCAAAGGTTGTGTATTTTTAGGCTATCCTATCAATCAAAAAAGGGTATAAACTTTTGGATTTGGATACAAAATAGATTTTCACCTCTATAGATGTCCATTTCATTGAACATATATTTCCTTTTGATTCTGATTAGCCTGTTTCTCTTATTTTTACAGAATCTTTTTAAATTTTGATCCTTCACCCTCTCAATCTTTTCCTCAGGATCCTACTTCTTCGCCCGTTTCTTCTTTGGATACAAAGTTGCATACTCCTACTCCCTCACTTGCTCTGCCTACCAATTCATCATCTCCAACACCTATTTCTTCGACCCTGATCCTCCTCTCAGAAGGTCCACTAGAACTACTTTTGGAAAAGTACCTTCTCATCTTAAAGATTACATCTGCAATTTTATTGTTCTTACTAATGTAATCCACTCTTGTTTTTTCTCCACCACTACACCTCCCTCTTTTTCAGTCCATCCTCTTTCTACCCCCAATCAAGAAACTCTTCAAAGTTGTTCTCACATTTTTGAACCTTCCAGCTATGCTCAGGCTTGTTCATATCCTGGCTGGAAAAATGTCATGGATGCTGAACTTGAAACTCTACAATCCAATAAAACTTGGGATGCGTTTTCTTTACCCCAAGGTAGGAAAGATTTACCTTGTAAGTGGGTTTACAAGGTTAAGCAACATGCTGATGGTAGTTTGGAAAGATTAAAGGCCAGGATGTGAGAGGTGATATACAACAAAAGGGGATAGATTTACTTGAGACCTTTTCACCTGTGGTTAAAATGACCACCATTAGGTGTTTATTGGATATTGCAACCAAGAAATGTTGGGATATTACTCAGTTTGATGTCTATAATGCCTTTTTACATGGAGATCTACAAGAAGAGGTTTATATGAAGTTCCCTATTGGATTAGATCCACCTCAGCCTAATTTGGTTTGTAGACTCAGAAAGTCTCTTTATGGCCTCAAACAAGCCTCTAGGCAATGGTATGCCAGACTTGCAGGAGATCTCAGTTTTAAGAGTTTTACTGCCTCTCTTAATGATTATTCCTTGTTCTTTAAACAACCAGGTTCTTTCATCACTATCATTGCAGTATATGTGGATGACATACTTATTACAGGAAATGATTTGCATGAAATTGCTGCTCTTAAGTTGTTTATACATTTAGAGTTCAAAATCAAGGACCTTGGGCCTCTACATTATTTTTTAGGCATGGAAATACTTAGAGAGTCACAAGGTATTATCATCAACCAGCGAAAATATACCTTAGATCTCCTACAGAAGTTTGATGTCTCCCATGTTCATTTAGTTTCTTCCTCTTTGGATCCATCTGTGAAGTTGTCTGCAGATTAAGAGGAAATCATGTCATATCCTACATTATACATGCATCTCATTGACAAACTAAACTATTTGATGCATACAATACCTGATTTGTGTCATTCAGTTCTGCTTCTTAGTCAGTTTATGCAGCAACCTTGCCTTTCTCATTATGATGCAGCTCTGCGGGTAATGAGTTACTTGAAATACACTCATGTTCAAGGTTTGTTCATGTCCGCTTCATCTTCTTTTCCCCTTCAGGCTTTTTGTGATGCTGACTGTGCGTCATGTAAGGATACACGAAGATCTATTAGTGGGTTCTTCATAAGCTTAGGAGGTTCGCCCATTTCTTAGAAATCCAAGAAGAAAGCTTTCATTTGCCTTTCCTCTGCTGAGGCTGAGTATCTCTCTATGAGATGGCTCGTTGACGAGTTAACTTGGCTGGTACGATTACTTTTCGATATATTAGTTCCCCCCGCTCTTCCAGTACCAGTGAAATCTGATAGTCAAAATGTCATCCATATTGCGCGCAACCCAGTCTCTCGTGAACGGACAAAGTATGTCGACCTGGACTGCCATTTTGTTCATCAACAATATCTATCGGGACTAATATCCCTTTCATTTGTTCCATTGGGGGCTCAGTTAGCTGATCTTTTTACCAAATCTCTCTCCGGCCCTTTACATCACTCCTTACTTTGCAAGATGGGTCGCACTCAACTTCTCTCCATATTGAGGGGGGATGTTGAAATTACAAATGGTGTACTAGTGAATGAAATATTTGATGCAAAAGATACACTATCAAAGGAAAGAAGAAAACAGAAACAAACAAGGTCTTTATGTTTGGCCTTGGTTTCATCGAAGAAAACTAACCCTTTTATCTGGTCTGAAGATGATAAAAGGGTTATGTTATCTGGGCTAAAGAGCTACACCTACACTGGACCAGTCAGAAGCCCAATTCGGATAAAAGGCCCAACAAATAAAGATTTTACATATAGCTGAAATGTATATACATAGAGAGGGAATAAAGTTTGTTATAGAAAAGCCAATTAAGATTGTACAGTTGGAATGGTAGTTACAATAGAAGGTTCTATTATTTTCTTTAGTTGTGTATAAATATAGGAACAAATTGTATTCTGCATATTCAATCAATACACAAATTTTTTTAAATTTTTGTTTCTTTCAGGTTGTTGATTATCTAATGTCTCAAAAACTGATCTAATGTACCCGACATGGCTACCGACAATAGCAAATGAAGAATTTCAACTCCAATAGATCGACAAATAATAAAATCCTTTTTCCCAACATCTTGGCTAAAGGAAAGTAATAGATGCATAACCAAGAAAGAAAGAAAATCGAGTGTAACCGAGCAAAGATAGTTATTTGACTTTCCATAGTTTACTAAAAAGTTTTTTTCCAGAAAACTAAGACACAAAAAAACATTTTTAATTTGCGAAATTATATATACAATCACATGTTTACCATACACCCAACAAACTTTTCTAACATAAAATTATCTAGCATTTCAATAATTTATTTCTCCGCTTGTAGTGAAAAAAATAGTATGACAAGTACCTGATTTTATTTGTAGAATTATGATTCTGATCATTCCTCAATTAATTATCACATAACAATATAGAGGATGTAATAGTAAATAAATATGTCATGACCCAAAGTACACCCTAGACGTGACATGTCGTATAAGACCCCAAGAGACACAAACCACTTGACATACATATAACACAATGTAGTAGACAAAAGTAGAATGAAGTAGAAAGCCTCATATCATAGGAGAGTTTGACATAAGATCGGAAGTCTAATCATATTCTTGACAAGTCAATCTTTAGAAGAGTGGTTGGAACGTAACTCATACAACACGTACAACATCCAAAACCTAAAGACATAAGAAAGCATAGTAAAGGTGACATGGTCCTTGGAACATGAGGACTCACCAAGTCTTTAATGACCAATCAATTGACTAGCCACAAACGGGAGGAAGAGAAACATCAGACCTTACATTATGAGACAATGTAGGTACAAATGTGCATTAATACAACGAATAAGCCAAGTATGCGAAAATGCATGAAACATGATCATAAGGGGACATAAAGGAAAACATGAAACACATGACCACTAAACTATAGTAAAAACCTTTAAAGAAGAATCATAGATCATGAACATGGTCAATGCATACTTAAAATTGTAATGAAAGCTTCATAAAACCTTTGAAGAAAATATAATTTGTTTATGTGGGTATTTACCGTTAACTGACATAGACCTTGTGAGCTATAACATGGAATTTTACTTTTTGCACCCATACAAAAAATAGATGTCCTACTTACCAAGGTAAGGAACATAAACTTCTAGCTTAGGTGGATCCACTAGCTATGTCTTTCTAACAGAAATCCTACAAGGGCATGTAGTTAAGGACAAGGATATTGCTACTAGAGACACAACCTCTACAAACCGGAGAGCCTCCATCTCAATATCCTCTGGGTGCTAAGTAAAAATTCAAACAGAATATTCATATACATATTCATGTCATCATACTTGAAAAGCACAATTAAGTTACCAATCCAATCTTAATTCATCATAGAGTATCTCCTTAATTCATGATTCATACATGTGTGAAAAAACCTTTAACCATTATGATATCTTAATATGTGAAAACAATTCATAATTTCATGCGTATGTGAGAAAACCATTCACAAGTTCATTGATGCTTATCTTAAAAGCAACCTTAGTTATTAAAACATTTTTTTCATAAATCATCATTCATAAGTTCATAGCTTTCTTCACAAATTCATCATCATAAGCATGTACCATGCATGGGTGCATATGAAAACAATTGGAAAACATGTAATTGAATCAAATTATACATAATAAGATTAAATCAAACAATTGAATCATAACAAATAGGATCCATAGATAATTGTATGAAACCCTAATCAAATTTGATTAAATTGAATTGGAAACTTGGAGATCTTTTGGGACCCAATGGATGAATCAAATCCATTGGTGAATTCCCACATACCTTGATGATCAAAGCCCGAAATCAATTGAGGAAAAATGAGACATGAAGAATGAACCCTAGTTTTCTTCCATGAAGATTGAGAGAATTTGAAGGGGATGAACTTAGATGCGATTTGGGGATTTGAGAGAATGAGAGGGCTTGGGTAGTTTTAGGAATTTAAAGGCAGTTATAGGACTTAAAAATAAGGGCAAAATGACATAGTATAGGTATCAAATGCATAGGAAAGACCTACATACTTTAACATCTCGCAACTAGAAAGAAGTTAAAAATCTGGAAATAGTCATTTTTTGAAAGTATAAGGAAATCTGGAAAAATTTAGTTAGTTAAAGTGAGTTTTTGGTCAATTTCAAACAACCATAACTCCTAGATCAGGATGATTTAGGTGTAGTTACAGATATGGTTGGAAAGATCTTGGAATGATCTTTCCAACGCTGCAAAGTTTGCACGATTCCGAGTTTGGATGAGGGAGTTATGCCCTTTGGAAGTTGGGTTGTTGGATTAAGGAAATGTCCAATCCGGAATTTTAAGGGGTATTTTAGTCTTTTCATTGCCATATTATTTTAATCCTTTTTTAGGAGATTAATATCGGTCAGATCATATTTTAGTCAGTTTTAGAATTTGGGATTTTACGCTAGGGCTTGGAGAAAGGAGTAAAGACGAGAAAGGAGAAGAGAAACAAGAACGTTCAAGATCGTCGAAGTTTGGCTTGTGGAATTTGTCGGGGGTGATCCCTACAAGGTATGCGAGATCACATAGATTTAGGTTAGTTCACCCACGCACCAAGCATGATTAATTAAGTGATTTTCATTCTAAAAGAGTTAGAATTTGATGTTATTGAGTAGTGTTCTTGAATTGTTTTCATTCTTGAACTTACATGTGATTGATGGGTTTTCTTGAGACGGTTTAGCAATTGTTAAGAGTTGTTTCAAATTAGATTCTAGTGTACATTCGTTGGGTATCTGAATCTAAGAAAGTATTGAGAAAAAGAATCGATTTAAAATGATTTAGGATCAGAAAACAAGTTGAAAAACTCGTCAGATGCACCTGGGGAGGGCCAGGCGTGTGGCGCCCCATAGCGCCAGGAGGCTGGGGTGGCACGCCTGCAGTGCGCCCAAAATGAGCCCCAGTAAATTGGGGCCTGGTGCAGCGCGCCAGGGACGCGCCCGGATCGGCGTTTTTCACCCAGTTTTCGTCCTTCAGTCCATTTAAGTCCTTTTAAAGTGTATTAACGTTTTCCATTGATCCTAACTACTCTAAATGACTTCTAAACATATAGAAATCATCCAGAAACATGAATCATAACCTTGAATCCATAAATTCAAATTCAAGGAGAGTCAAGAGCCAAGACTAGGAAGCTCGTCGAGGCTTTTCAAGAGGTCTTTTGCATATGCTTTTAACTTTGTTTTAAGACTTAAAGTTCAAGTTGAGTAAAGAGTAAAGAGTAAAGTTTGAAGTTCATTTCTTCAAAAGTACATGGGGACTATGTATTCCCAAAGAGGTTAAAATGTTTTCACATTTAAATAAGAACGGAAACTGAGATTTCCAAAGAGCCTTCGGGATAGTTTTCAGAAAAGAGAAATAGCTTTCTAAATGAAAGAAGAAGGGAAACTGAGATTTCCAAGATAGCCTTTGAGCTAAGTTTTTGAGTACTAATCTCAAATCACAGAAGAAGTATGTTTTTAAAACATAAAGAGCTAGTATATTTTGGGAATAGGATTGAGCACCGATATGGGGGAGAGTTCAGAAAACTCACAGCCCCCATAAACCATGTAGCCACCATGGGTAGAAAAGGGTCATACCTTTTAGATGCACCTTCTTCACAATGGACTAGTGGATCCACTTAGTAGTTCAGGTCCTATACCTTTGGCCGGGATCCACAGAGTTGACATCATATTTTTTAACAACTTTTATTTATATTGCACTTGTCTTAAACTACTTTATATTGAAATGAGTTCAGTTAAGTATTCATTAGTTGAGAAGAGCCAAGGTAAGTGCTTCTTTCAGATTCCCTTTCAAACCTATGCTGTTTTAGCACTCCAACTCGCATACACGTACATTCAATGTACTGATGTCAGTTGGCCTGCATCGTCTTATGATGTAGACACAGGTAACTAGGATCGACATTCTAGCGCACCGTTGATCCAGTGAGCAGTTCAGAGTCAGTCGGTGAGCCTCCTTGCATTCCGGAGGATCTATTTTCATTGTTTTCTAGTTAGTTCATTAGGATGTTGTGGGGTTTGTCCCAACATCCATCTCAGTTGTTTTAAGGCTTCATAGACAGTTAGATGTTAGTCTTTTGAGTCTTTTCATTATCATTTTTATTGTTAAGACTTGGGTTGCCACTTTTGGCCAAGTTGAATGTTTCACCTTTAAGCATTCTCAGTTATTTTAGTATCTAGTTCAGTTAAGTGCTATTGATCTTTATTAATATGCATATTTTCTTCAGCTAAGTTAAGTAAGCCAGGCCAAGGGTTCGCTTGGGGCCAGTAATGGTCTTCGAGTGCCAGCCACGCCCAGGGTGTAGGCTCGGGGCGTGACACATACCCGTAAGAAATAATTGTCGAAAGTGATCTTTAGTTGGGACCTACAGTCCGTAGAACTTTCTACGGCCCATACTGTTCAACCATAGAACCAACTTCATAAACCCAAAATTCATTTTAATTCCCATGAAATACTTTTATGAGTCGTCGACCTTTCTATGGTACATTGACTCCATCTGTAGTCCTCAACTTTGAGTCCAAAATTTCACTAAGTGTAGAACCTTTCTACAAAACCCATTTACAATCCGTAGAACCAATTATGACATGTTGTTCTCTTACATAGACTTAGGGTCTTCAATCAAATCCATCCTACAAATTCCATCTACGCCTCGTCTGAATTCACAGATCATTCTATCAAGTCATAGGTCAAACTTTATAAACTTGAAATTTCAAAATTCTTACCCAATGTCTACGAGGCCCTTCCAGTG